CAATCTCCGCTTCGTGTGTCTATATCGGAGTAGAACATTTAAAATCGCAGCGCCTCCGCGGCACGAGAATTACGCTAATTACGCGTTCTCGTTGAACGTCGCAAGACTCCGTGTGCGGGAGTGAGACCGCGCTACACGACGGTTTGCCGTCGCGCGCGCTCCAAAACAATCTCTCTCTCTCTCTCTCGCTCTCTCTGGAAGAAGCGAAGAGCGAGAGAGACAGTTCGCCGTCGCGCGAGCTCCGAAGCAATCTCTCTCTCGCGCACTTTCTCTCTCGCTCTCTCTCGCAGGCGCGAAGAGCGAGGGAGACGGTTCGCCGTTGCGCGCTACGAAACTCTCTCGCTCCTCTCTCTCTCTCTCTCGTGTGCTCTCACAATCACGCTCCTGCCGTTGCTCCGGTCTAAGCCGCGGCGCTCCGGCCACGTGACGGTCACGCACCCTCACGTACCCGGTGTACGTCGAATTCTGCAGTTGAGTAAACCGAATTTTGACGTTGAGGCGTCACTTGCACAGCAAGCACCACAATTACGCGCTTTGCTTTACAATACTCGCAGTGACTTTCGATGATGAACATTGACTCTCACTGATTAACAGTGACTCTCAGTGAGCGTGCGCCGCTATCACGCGCATCGCACCTGTGAATATTAACCAGTGCATTCTTCTCACTGACTTTCAGCTCTCGCAGAACTCAGTGCAAGTGACCGCGAGCGCCGCTATCACTCGCCCGCGTCGTGCATCTCTCTGTGACTCTCTCGATCATTTCGGTAATTTTCGACGTTTCTAAACATTAGTGAAGGTGCGCGATTTGCAATCTCGACGCCGCTATCACGCGTCAAGCAATCGCATCAATACGCCTTGTACATCGCTTCGTGTGAGAAAGACAGCCGATAACGGCTTAACGCGACGGTGCGCTAACTCGCGCTCGGACTCTCTTACTCTCTCTCGCGCGTCAACCAGCGGGCGCTTCACGTCTGCGCGCGCGCTCGAATCTTGCTTCAGAAGCGAATAATCGATTAACGATTCACTAATCCGGCATCGATAATCATGTCGACCGTCGTGAGCGACCTGCTCATCGAATAGGGAGCTCGTATTGACGAGATCAAACGAGATCTCGTCAACTTTAAGAAGCTGGCCAAATCAAACGTTACACTCGCTAAGACGCGAAGTCGACTTTCCAAGTTGGAGGAGCACTGGGCCGCTTGCCGCGGCCTTCATGTCAAACTGCTTCAAAAGACGACGCCGGAGCAGCAAGCAACCTTGCCGTACTTCACTCTGGAGGAATTCCTGAAAGCTGAGAATGTCTACATTGACACGGCCGATCTGCTGCAAGACACGATAAGTCGATTATCTCCTAATACAATTCCGTTTGCCAATCGTAGTTCCGATTCCTCCATTCGCGAAACAAATAATCATTGCTTTCAATTGCCACGCATCGCGTTGCCAAAGTTTTCCGGGAAATTAATCGATTGGGAAACCTTCCGTAACATTTTCGAGTCTCTCGTAATAAATAACAACGCGCTTTCAAATTCTCAGAAATTTCATTATTTAAAAACTAGCATAACGGGAGACGCTTCATTGCTGATCAACAATTTAAAGATTTCCGATGCTAATTACGAATTCGCCTGGCAATTGTTAACTAATGAATACGACGATAAGCAAGCGCTAATCTATGTTCATTTACACGCGTTTATTAGTCTTCCGGTTATGAAAAGCGAGAGTGTAAGCGATTTGCGAAAATTGCGCGACACAGTGTCTGCGTCGTTAGTCGCTTTAAAAAATCTTGATCGTCCAGTAGAGCAATGGGACGACATTTTTGTTTACATAATAACGCAAAAGTTTAGCGCGAAAACGCGTACCGAATGGAATTTAAGGCGAATCAAACGAAACGAGCCTCCTTCTTATCAGGAGCTTAACGAGTTTCAAACTCTCCGTATACGCGGATTGTCTGACTTTGCCGATTCGAGCAAGGACTCCGGTTCTTCAAAAAATGATAAACCGCGTTTGGCTGTAAATAATGTGATAGCTCTTAAATGTATTTGTTGCTCCGGCGAGCATCACATTTCGAAATGCGAAGCTTACGAGAAGAAATCCGCTTCACAGCGCTTCGCTTTCGCGCGCCAACATAAACTTTACTTTAATTGTTTAAGGCCCGGGCATTTCCCATTGAAATGCCCGAGCAAATATCGGTGCAGACAATGTCGTCGCTTGCATCACACATTGCTGCATTCAGCGGCAAATCAAAATGCCTCCGATTATTCGGTCGGTTCCGAGGCAACTACCTCCGAATCTGCGTCAAACACCGTATCTAATACAATCTCAAATCAAGCGGTTAATACGGTCGCGACCGTCCAAACAGTACCCCCGCCGCTTGAAGAGCATCCAAACGTCCTCTTGGCGACGGCATGGGTCGACCTCCACACGGGGGAGGGTCGCTGCTTAAAGGTTCGCGCATTATTGGATCAAGGATCCACCTTTAGTTTTATATCCGAATCGCTCTCTCAGGTGTAACGCACTAAACGGCAGCGAGCCAATTTACAAATTAGATGCTTCGGCAAAAAATACACGGGTACTGCTAAATCGCGCGTAAAACTCCAGTTAACCCCGTGTGCTCAAGCTGATCCGAGCTTCCCTCTGACGGCTTACATTTTTCAACGCATCACATCATACGCTGCCTCGCGGATTCAGCCCTTCGATTCATGGCCTCATTTACAGGGTCTATCTTTTGCTGATCCTGATCCTTCAAGTCACCATCAAATTCATTTGTTGATCGGTGCTGACCTTTACGGCTCGCTTCTGATGCGCGACGTCCGTCAAAGTCCTCTTGGCACTCCGACTGCTTAGTTGACTGCTCTAGGCTGGATTTTTTCTGGCCCTACGAATAGCAGGCCGACTGCTTCGGCTCAGGCCTCTGTGTTAAACTGCGTGTTAGAACAAAGCACGCACTCTCTTCTCCAGAAATTCTGGGAAGACGAAGAGATCTCGCGGCCTGTCCCCCTCACTGAGGAGGAGGAGAGGTGCAAGGCTCATTTCATCGCCAACCACTATCGTACCCCTCAGGGACGCTATGCGGTTCGATTGCCCTTCAGACATGATTTCCCGATAGAAATCGGTGATTCCTTGCACATTGCAAACTCACTTTATAATAAAATGGAAGGAAAGCTACGGCTTCGTCCAGAACTTCACACGCAATATAACGAGTTCTTACAGGAGTATCACTCGCTCGGTCATATGAGAAAGGTGGAAGTATCCGACCGCTCCGAGTTCGGGCCGGTATATATTCCTCATCATCCCGTTTTGCGCGACTCAAGTTGCACTACAAAATTACGCGTTGTCTTCAACGTTTTATGCAAAACGAGCAACAAGACTTTACTTAACGATCATTTACTGATTGGTCAGAGATTGCAGCAAGACCTTTCCGCGATATTATTGCGCTGGCGTCAATGGCAATTTGTTTATACGGCGGACATTGCTCAAATGTTCCGCCAAATTCTCGTGCATCCGTCTGACACGGATTTTCAAAGAATCCTATGGCGATCGTCGGTCGACGGGCCGATCGAACACTATCGCCTTCTCACTGTGACGTACGGGCTCGCGCCCGCTCCGTACCTCGCGATAAGGGTACTGAAACAGCTTTCTCTGGATGAAGGCGACAACTATCCCGCTGCTGTTCCGATTCTCCACGAGTCCCTCTACGTGGACGATGCGCTCTTTGGCGCGGACGACACGACTTCATTGATAGAAGCTCGTGTTCAACTTGTTGAAATCTTGCGAAAGGGAGGATTTCAGCTACAAAAGTGGGCATCTAATGCTCCCTTTCTTCTTCAAGGGCTTTCGGCTCATCAGCCGGAAGTCACCGATCACTTACTCGTAAAAAAGATGCCCTCAAAGTTCTCGGTCTGTCATGGCTCGCGAAGGAGGACGCGTTCAAATTCGTGATAACTCCGTTGAGACCGGCTACACCCACGAAACGTTCAGTTCTCTCGTTTACGGCCAAATTATACGACCCACTCGGATGGGCCGCTCCGGTCGTTGTAACCGCGAAAATCTTGTGACAAGAATTATGGCTTCTCGAATGTGATTGGGACTCGCCTCTTCCAGAAGAGTTGCGCGATCGTTGGAAAAGCTACTCCAACGATTTAAAATCATTGAACCGCGTCCGAATACCGCGTTGGACCGATCGACATTCTAATAACCTCGCGTTCGAAATCCACGGATTTGCCGACGCTTCAAATCGTGCTTACGCGGCGGTAGTCTATATTCGAGTGCTTCCCTCGCCAACGAAGTTTCAAGTCAGTCTGCTTGCTGCTAAAACAAAGGTCGCGCCGATCAAAACTGTAAGCATCCCGCGACTGGAACTGAACGCTATCGTCCTCCTCAGCCGGCTCATCAAATGGACCTTGACCTCATTAAAATTACCTTCGATTCCAATATACGGATGGACGGATTCGACCATCGCTCTCGCGTGGCTCCGTCAACATCCATCAAAATGGAGCACCTACGTGGCTAACCGCGTATCAGAGGTGCATACCTGTCTGGATTCCGTCCGTTGGAATCACGTTCCTTCTCGAGATAATCCTGCGGACTGTGCCTCGCGCGGTCTGACCGCTTCAGAACTCGTTACTCACCCGTTATGGTGGAACGGTCCACGATGGCTTCAGAAGCCACCGACTTCTTGGCCGATTCTCGATGTTTTCGCTCCACTCGACTCTGCCACCGATCAGCAAGTGTCGGTGGAGAGAAGACGGCCTGTAACGCTCCATATTCAAGAGGCCGATGAATGGGAACTCCCATATAAGTTTTCCAACTTGACCAAGCTTGTCCGCGTGACTGCTTATATGAACCGCTTCATTCTTCGTTCAAGGGGAAAGAGTGCGTCTCGCTCCTATCTCTCAGTTCTTCTGAGCGCCGACGAGCTCAGGAGGGCAGAAACCTTCTAGCTGCGCTATCTGCAACAGAGGTTCTTTGAGCGGGAAACGCGCTCCCTAAAGAAGAACGGCACCATGCCGCATTCGAGCTCGTTGAGCAGATTGAGTCCCTTTCTAGGAGAGGACTCTTTACTCCGTCTTGGCGGGCGGTTAAGGAATTCGGCGCTCAGCTATGACAAGCAACATCCTATCATAATTCCGAAACATCACTTATCCGATCTCTTAATTGATCGCGCTCATAGATCCACGCTCCACGGAGGAGCACAGTTAGTACTCCGTGTGCTACGTCAGCGATACTGGCTCATTAGAAGCCGCAACTCCGTAAAAAGGCACATTCGAAAATGTGTAGTCTGCGTTCGTCACGCAGCTAAACTGTCGTCTCAATTCATGGGCGACCTTCCCGCCGCTCGTGTAACGTCTTCGGCGCCGTTTACTCACTGTGGAGTTGATTACGCCGGCCCACTCCACGTAATTCCATTCGTCGGCAAAGAGCAAAGGGCCAGAAAGGTGTATATCGCTCTGTTTATTTGTCTTGCCACTAGGACAATTCACCTCGAAATGGTGGAGGATTACTCCACGCCCGGCTTTCTTGCAGCCTATCAGAGGTTCGCTAGCCGTCGAGGTCTGCCGCGTCACATGTATAGCGACAACGGCACAAACTTTCATGGAGCCAACCACGAGCTTCATCGACATTTTCAATCCTTATTAGAGGATGCTGACTTGCGAAACGCGCTCGCGGACGACGGAGTGGACTGGCATTTCATTCCCTCCGCCGCTCCGCATTTCGGCGGATTTTGGGAGGCCGGTGTAAGAGCCTTAAAACGCATCTGAGGCGTGCTGTTGGTTCCCACACGCTTTTGAGGGCTGAGCTCGCGACGCTTCTCTGTAAAATAGAAGCGTGTCTTAACTCGCGACCTATCGCTCCGCTTAGCGACGACCCGGGTGACTTGTCGGCGCTCACCCCGGGTCACTTTCTGATTGGACGGCCCCTTGTAGCCGTTCCGGAGGAATCGGTACTCGCGATCGACCCGCGTAGGCTCTCACGATGGCAACTAGTCCGTGCCATGCAGGAAACCGTGTGACGCGCCTGATCACAAGACTATTTGCATTCGCTTCAACAGCGAAACAAGTGGAGCAAGCAGTCTTCTAACTTCGAAATAGGCGAATTAGTGTTAGTCAAAAATCCAGTGCTCCCTCCTAGCAAATGGGAGCTTGCGCGAGTACAGCAGATCCATCCCGGATCTGATGGACTCGTTCGAGTCGTGACCATTCGCACCTCACGGTCCATATTGAAACGACCTATTACGCAATTATGCCGACTGCCAATTCGCGATAACTCTAACGCTTCCGCAACGGATGAAGCCGCTAAGTTGTAAGACTCATGTAATCTTCGAGACAACTCTATCAGTACGAGTCGTCTTCACCTGTATGCTTTCTGTAATCATCCTCCTCGACGATTCGCTCTCGCTTCGTTCAAGTTTATTTCGCATACGTTCGCATACGAGGCGGGCGGTATGTTAAAGATTCGTTCTTCGGAGCGAATCCTCGAGGACGATCGAATCCTCAAAAATGTTGAAATTCCTCAGTGTTTACGATTGAGAAACATGCGAAACCTGCGTGTACACTAGCCGCTAATTGGCGTGTGTACATCGCCTGATTTTCGGTAATCCAATCGCGACACCGATCGGCAGCCGCCCTACGCGCGCTCCGAAATTCGCGCTGCCCTTGAGTCAGTTCTCGAGAGATCGAGCACCGAGCGACATCATTCTCTGTAACGCGACGTACTTAAGTCAAAGTGAAATAAAGCGATTGGTAACCACAAAACACGTACAATCATTCGATCTCGTAAACCCGGCATCCTACAACGAGTTGAAACTTGTACAATAATATAAAAGTAAACGTTTCGACCTTACTAGGTCTTTATCAATACAATCACACAACCGCAAGTATAAAATTATAAAATATAATAAAGAAATTTGAACATAATCTCGCAAGCTATGTAAAGATGAAACTTCGATTATTATTCGATTTAATTACAATGGTTGAAACAATTATTCTTAGATGTTTTATGTTTAAAACCATCTTTCAATTAAATGCACGGAGTCCAAATTGGTCGTTGGACAGCGAACGGTCTGTTCCGGCATCTTCACGAGATGAGTCCCATTAATTCAAGCCCTTTTTTCCCACAAAAATAGATTAAAAAGATTCCAATGAAGAACACTCCGAAAAATATAAATTAGCAATAACTTACATATTGATATTATGTGTTGGTTGTTGTGACTCAGCAATATCAAGGAATAATATGTATTATTATGTCGTAGCCTGTTTATATAGTCAATAGTGTTGTCAATAGTTAAAGGTTAATTTGTTTATTTTTTATTAAAAAAATGTGTCAGATAATTCTTCTAAAATGTCAAAATAGCAGCTTTCAAGGGATTCGATGTCTTTCTTTAAATTTATACTGTTTTTATGTTCTTTTATGTATAACATTTCAGAAATAAGTCTTTTATTATAGTTGATTTCATGATCTAATATTTCAGTCCCTTCCCAGTCAAAAGTGTGCTTATTATTTAAAATATGTTCAGAAATCTCCGAATGTTTTGCAGAGTCTAATTTAAAATTGTTTTTATGTTCGTTAAGTCTGGTACGTAATTGTATTTTCGTTTGTCCAATATAAGTTGCGTCACAGTCTCTGCAATTGATTTTATATACAACATTTGAATTGCTGGAGTCATCATTCTTATCTTTATGTGTTTTAATCCAAATGTTTAGATTTTTCAAGACACGATATCCTACATTTGCATCCGATTTTTTAATATTAGCTGATATTTTTTCGGAGATGGATTCCACATATAGAATTGCAACAAATTTGTTATTTTTATCTTTGCTATCATGAAGACCCTTTTTATTTTCTTTATCAGTTATCTTTAATTTGCTGTTGATAAGATTCTTAATCCTGCGATTTATTTCATTAAAAATAAGAGCCAGAGAGTAGTTATTTGGTAACAAAACATTTATAACTGTATGCAAATTTTTATCATGGAATCGAGGATGCGACAATAGCAGTGCTCTGTCCACTAAATTATAAATAGTGCCTAATTTGTGGCATCTCGGATGGTTGGAATAAAAAGATAAAAATCTACCTGAAAAAGTTTTTTTATGGAACCAATCTACATATATCGCATCCTCAATCACATTAATAGAAATGTCAAGGAAACTAATGCTACGATTCTCTTCTCTTTCAACTGTAAATTTCAGTCTTTCGTGGTATTCGTTAAATTTGTCTATGATATGTGGTATACTTTCCGCATTTGTTGCCAATAAGATATCATCTACATAACGATAGTAAAAAGTCAAATTCCAATTAGATGTGTCAATAATAGATGTTTCAAAATCTTGCAAAACTAAATCAGCAATTATTGGAGATAGGGGAGATCCCATAGGGGCTCCGTATATTTGTTTATATGTAGTGTTGTTAAATTGGAAAAAGTGGATGTTAATATAAATTTAATCGCGTTCAAAAGTTCGTTTTTTGGAATTTTAGTCTGTGGTTCGATGTAATGCCATCTATTATTAATGCATTTTATTGCAAGATCCAGAGGGACATTTGTGAATAAAGAGACAACATTTAATGAAACTATTATATTTTTACTGTCTAAAGCTTTTCCAGACAGAGCATTGCACAAATCCAAACTATTAATAACAAAACCATTCGCTTTAGGAATGCTTTTGATCAAAATTTTATGGATAAATAAAGCTATGTGGTGTAAAGCTGTGTTCACCGACGAAACTATAATTCTAAAAGGAGTGTCTTTTTTATGGATTTTAGGCAAACCGTATGCTTTGGGCAAGAGGCTATCACTCGAATGCAAATGATAGTATTCCGTTTTGATAATAAAATCCTTTTTAGCCATTTTTTTATAATTATATTTGTGACGGCCCGATTAGCCGTCACTAGCCACACATGGCCAACCAACCACCCGCGCTTATGTAAACGGCCCCTTTCGGGGCCACCACATGAACACGTTGGAAATCCGCCTTTTCGCCCCCACCCGTCACTCGACCCCCTCCAAGTTAGTTTTGGAGTGGGGTGGCTCGTCGAGTATAAAGAGCGGCGCAGCCGAAGCTTCGCCGCCAGTCCCGTCCTGGGGGTCTATTCTTGAAACGAGGACCCTAGATATCGCATACGATATCGCATTCGATAGCAAAAATGGTATTCTCGAATGAATGAGATGTATCGTATGCGAGAAAATATCGAACAGTTCATCTCGAGTGGGTAAACCCCATGCGATATGTAAGTCGCATACGATAAATATAGTAATAAAACCGCTGTTTTCAAAAAAAGTGAAGTTATCCAATGTAAGAGAGGTTAATTAAATTTATAATTGCAATGGATTTGGCATGTCAAAATGCTGTTCAACTTCATATTGCTGAACAATTAGAAAATATTTTCGATTATAATGAAAGACAGCGTTTTCACATAAGGGATGATCTATTTCACTTATCAGAGCAACAGTTTATAAATATTTTTTGATTGAAAAAAGAAACAGCAAACAGGCTTATTAATATTGTGGAAGACAATTTTATAGAACCATCACGATCTTCAGCTTTGGACGCCACTGTACAAGTACGTACAACAAATGCAGAATAAATTATTTGTAAATTATTTAATATAACTTATTTGTAAAATTTTTCTAGGTTTTAGCTGCATTACGCTTTTATGCATCAGGCAGTTATCAGAATTGCATAGGAAAAAATATTCACATGGCTATTAGTCAACCTTCGATCAGCAGATGTGTTCGAAATGTGACTAATATTCTTAATCGTCCAGAAATATTTAACACTTGGGTATGCTTTCCTAACAACCTTCAAAAGCTGCAGCAACTACGTAACAAGTGAGAATATATTGAGAAAAATTAAATAAGATATAGTACGCAACTACGTTTATATATATATATATATATATATATATATATATGTATAATATAATCATACATATTTATTTATGTATATTATTTATGTTATATGTATATATAGATTTTGGATTAAGCATCGCTTTCCTGGAGTGATTGGTTGTATAGACTGCACTCATGTAGCAATTGTTCCACCTCCTAAAGAAGATGAGAATTATCCTGAACATATATATGTAGATAAAAAAGGATATCATTCAATTAATGTACAATTGGTAAGATTGCGCCTTAACACACACAATTCATTTAAGTATATTATTTAAGTATATTATTAAACAAATAATATAAGTACAGCTTTATTTGCAGATATGTGATTCTGATCTTATTGTTAGGATTATGAATGTTAATGCCCGATATCCAGGAAGCACGCACGATTCGTATATCTGGAATAATAGTAATGTTCTTCCTATAATGCAAGATATTTACAATCGTGGACACAACTTTTTTTTACTAGGTAATATGTAATAAAAATAATTATTAAATATTACGTACTTTATGATTCGCGTATGATGCGCATGAATAAGTGACAGACAATCTATAGTTTATGTTACGCATATTACACATTTTCTGTCACTTTATGTGCATCATGTGTGAATCGAAAAATACCTATTGTTTTTAATTACAATGTATAACATTATATTGCTTTACAGGTGATTCCGGTTATGCGCTTAGACCTTGGATGATGACTCCAATAATGGACAATAATCTTAATATTGCAACAAGAAGATACAATGATCGGCAAAAGAGCACTAGATCGCTTATTGAACGTTGCAATGGTGTTTTAAAGATGAGATTTCGTTGCTTGTTGAAACATACAGTCTTGCATTACCGACCAGATGTGTGCTCAAAAATTATCAATGCTTGTACCATATTACATAATATGTGCATTCATGATAAAGTGCCTTTACCTGATGAAGCATTTGAAGATGAAGTATTGGATTTTGGTATGCTAAATGTTATGGATGGTGTAAACGAACCCGGAATAAATTTAAATAGAAATATTGAACTAATAGCTGGAAGAAGAATTCGCAATAATCTAATACGACATTACTTCTCTTGACAATATTTTATACTTTTTGTACACATGCATGTACACATATTTGTATTTCTAATTGTAATAACGTGGCAGTAAATAACAATATTTGGATTATAAACATTTGTTTTATTTCTTTGGACAATGTTCTTTATAATAGAAATACACAAAATGAACATAAACTGAATCTCTTATCTTTCAGTTTTTTAACATAAAATAAATATTAATTTTTTTAACATACGTAAAAATTGTTATACGTTAATAGCTTATAGGAACTATAAAAAGAAATACACAAAATGAACATAAACTGAATCTCTTATCTTTCAGTTTTTTAACATAAAATAAATTACTAAATTAATTAATAAATTAATTACTTTTTTTTACCAATTGCTCCAGCAATGCGCATATTTTTTTTTTGGTAATGATGTCTTTTTCTTTCAGAGCTAACTCCTTTGTATAAAGTTTTAATTTTTCTGCGTAGTACGATTTTCGTAGATCGCTATCTTCCTGCGAAATTTTTGCCAACTTTTCAGTTTGTTCTATTGATTTGTCATATCTTTGTGCAGCAGAAGTTCTTTTAACACCTTTTTGTATGGCAGTCGATTTTAAAATTGGGGTTACAGAAATATGTGATGCGTTGTTAACTACATTGATTGGTGTTTCTAATGCAGTTGTTCTTTTTGTTAAAGATTTTCTATTATTATTGTAATTGTCATTATCATTGTTGAAGTTCTTTTCTGGTGAGTTTTCTTCCAATCTGCTGCAATGATAATTTTGAGAAGACGATGACTGTTGTGACACACATTGCTGCGTTATATCTTGACTGTTGTATTGCATGGGAAAATTTTCCTCATCTCCACTATCGTCGATTTCAACTGAATCACCTATCCACTCCTAAAAAAATATTAATGTACACGCATACTTTCTGTTTTAATGTTATAATTTCCTAATACGTTTTGGATATTATATTATGATACAACAAAGATTGCTTACCATTAGCACATTGGATTCTTGCACTGTCTTATGTCCTTCCACGACTGTTGTACCCATAAGTGCTAGAACATTTTGATCTGTTTCAGATAAGACTTGACTTGATGCAGGCTCTCCACCAGTTGCTTTTGCATGATTCTTGATCAAAGCATTTTTGGCTTTAGTGGAACTTCGCATGTCTTGCCAAGTCTATGATACAGGCAGAAAGTAGACCATCAGATTATTTGAAGTATATAATTTTCTTTCTGTAAAAAGAAGTTTTGCTATCTGTCAATATAATACATTCCTTTCGCCATTGTTTCCATTCTTTTTGTGCACCAGGTATTTCATGTAGTTCTGCTGTTACTTTTTCCCACAATTTTTGAGCATGTTTAAACGTAAAGTAAACGTTGTAGAAAACTTTCCACTCTGTAGCTCTGGATGTTTACGCATAAATTCTGCAATTAAAATATATATTATAGAGCATTGTATTGAAAGATTAATAAATAATAGTTACTATCAATCTATTAAGCGGCTTTTACCCATTACATATCTTTAAATACAAATTACAAATTTTCAATGTGAACAAGTTCAATATGAGAGAGTTTAAAGCAAATTTTATTAGACTGTAACAAATTGAAGGCAATACTTACCAACCAGCAAACTTTTCTGTTCTTCATTAACATATGTACATCGTTTCTTCACTTCATTTGATGCTAATGCCATTTTAATTCGATTTTCACTATTATTATATATTTGTTAACTGTAACAAAATTTGCACTTTACCAATTTTAACTAAGATCACAGAATTTTTGTTAACACAGTTTAACTGCGTTGTACAAATTTAGGTTAGACTGACAATGAATTTCAAAATTCACTACAATATATGCGACATAAACTATAGATTTCCAGTACGTAGAATTTCGGAACACACAACCTTTCTCGCATGCGACATTTATCGCAGACCTCATATCGCATGATAGTTGAGAATACGATTCTGAAGTCGCATGCGATACGGACCGTGCGATATTTTTCGCATGCGACAATTATCGCATGCATTCAAGAATAGGGCCCCTGGTCCCTCGAGCGTACTCAGGGATCACTCCTCAAATCCCACACTCCCAGTCATCCCGGCCGACGAGTGTCCTCGTCGTGTAGGCCGAGTGTTCTCGGTCACCGGGTCCTGTCCGTAAGTCATCCCGGCCGACGAGCGTTCTCGTCGTGTAGGCCGAGTGTTCTCGGTCTCCGAGTCCTGTCCGTAAGTCATCCCGGCCGACGAGCGTTCTCGTGGTGTAGGCCGAGTGTTCTCGGTCACCGGGTCTTGTCCGTAAGTCACCGGCGCTCGACGGAGTCCACCCTTCTCAGAGCGCCCGTACGCGCGTCCACGTTGGAAATTCTAGTTATAAGTCGTGTCCGCGTCTGTATAATCTGGTCGCGTTTCGTCCGTAATAAGCCTATCTGTCAATTCTAGTTATAAGTCGTGTCCGCGTCCGTATGATCTGGCCGCGTCTCGTCCGTAATATTCCTATCTGTCAATTCTAGTTATAAGTCGTGTCCGCGTCCGTATAATCTGGTCGCGTTTCGTTCGTTATACAATACTATGTATTGATAGCCTGAATCACGGGTCAACCCCTGAAAGGTGGCCCGAATAAACTATACTTTTACCAGAATAACCGCGTGTCATTGCAAATCTGAGTCTCCCCTCTTCCCGAATCCTGGCACCGACGAGCCGATCCGTGGCGTCGAGAAAGGTGCTTCGTTACATGGCGCCCGAACAAGGACCTGACTCGACCGTCTGAGACTCCGGTTCGCAATCCACATGCTTGGGTGGATCTACCACCTGGATAAAGAGAAAGCCATCTGATATCTCGCCGACCGCAATCTAGACCCAGAAGGGAGATTAATCGACCTCCGCCGCCGCATAAGAGACCACGTGATGGCCAACCAGTCAAACACCGGAGCGGCCGAAACGCTCCACGCGCCGCTTAGCCGCGGAGGAACGTTACCGGAGTGCACGAGGAACCCCCGAACCACCCGAAGCCGACCCGGCTAAGGCCCTTAATCAGATACGCAAATGGGGCTGCCATTTTGATGGTAAGGACCCCCTCGCTTTTCTCGAGCATCTGGAAGAACTCAGTGTGGCCTATGGTCTGGAAGACCACAATTTTTTCAACGGTCTGTCCGAGCTGCTAAAGGGCGACGCCCTTCTGTGATGGAGAAACACCAGAGAACAGTGGTTTACATGGACCGAGTTCCGAAAAGATTTTTTGGCCCAGTATCTATCGCCCGGGTACAAACGACAATTACGACGGGAAATACAAGGCCGGCGACAAAAGCGGGAGAGACGTTCACTCGATACGCTACCGCCGTACAGACAATGATGCGTCGGGCTGGCGGCTACACTAGCCAGGAGCGGCTCGAGCAATTGTACGAAAACGCCGACCCAGAGCTCCAGTTATACGTTCGACTGGACGAACTGCACTCCGTTTCCGAGCTGTGCAGTCGTGCCGCCGAGTGGGAGGAAATTCACCGGCGCCGCCAAGAACAACGCCGCGAAACATCACGGCCCACCGAAGCGAATCTTGCCGCCACTACCTATGACTGTGCGAGTTGCTGCTGGCGATGAAAACAACGAGGGCACACACGACTCGACTGCCGCCGCCCAGCGCGGAAATTTTGCTCGCAGTGCGGGAAGGATGGCGTTCTAACACGGGACTGCCATCGTCCGACGGGAAACGACCGGCGGGTCGGAAACGAGGCGGCCACCGCCCGACCCGCGTCCAGATAGAGTACACACCGCGGCCGCATTTACCAGTCCAGATCCGCCGATTCACCGCCTGGGCACTTCTCGATTCCGGATCCGAAGTGTCTTTTGTAAACGCCGCCATGGCCAAACGCCTGTCTGAACACGGCCTCCAGATCCAGCCGTCCGAAGAACCGGTCAACTTAGCCGACGGCTCCAAGGCACCCATCTCCGGTTCGATCCGCTTCGCCCTCCGAGTCGGCCCTTGCTCTGTCCGCCACCGCTTCCAGGTCCTTTTTTTTTTGTGACGCTGGGGAAACCGTCATGGTACCGCACACCCCCGGGTAGGGGTGCGGGTTATGTGGGACTCCTTGTTCCCCTTGGTCGAGCCACGAATGGTTCGACCAGGGGGCCCAAGACCTACCTTACTAAAACCCCAGCGGGTGTTCTTCCCGGGCGTTGGATAGGGGGCGGCGAGGATGCTGGTATCCCATGCCGACTCACCGCCCCCCCGCCAAGCCGTCTCTGGGGAGCTGCCTCGGTCTTGCGACCGAGACCCCTCCCCTACCGCACAGTCAATGACTGTGCGGTTCCCTCGCGGTTGCGGCGCAGGGCGAACACCGGCCCCACGCCGCGCCCTCCCAAAGAGTTTGGGGGGCGGGGCCATGGCTCGAGAACTCCCGCTCGAGCCATCGCCCCCCACCCCCCTGCTAGACGCATCCCCCGGATCCCCAAGAGGGTGATCCGGTTCGGCGTTCCACCAGGGGAGCCCTCGCCAGGGGGTTCCTCTCAGAAGGAGAGAAACCCCCTCTGTGGACGGCGTTGCCCTCCCACCGGTGCCTTGTGGCTCCCGGTGAGAGGGCCCCGCGCGTCACGTCTCCGTCATAAAGGGGGGGGCCAGGCGCCCCAGGCAGACAGGCATTGCCCGCCCGCCAAAGACGCGTGGCCCCCCCTCGGTCCCGCCGATTACGGCTCCCTCCGCTCCCTTGGGAGTTAGGATTCGGCCGCAATCAGGGGGATTTCCCGTTCGGGGGCGCGGCCGCGCCCGCCTCGCCTAGGCAAGGCGGCGCACCCACGCCCCCGATTCTCGAGAGGTCTTTGGGGGGGAGTCCAGGGACTTAGTTGTCCTCGACCCTCCCCGGCAACCTCATCCCGCGTCGTACGACGACGCGGGTGTGAAAATGGCGGACCCTCCCCGCCCCCCGCCACCACGGGTGAGTACTCTCACCAATGGCGGAGAAAGAGAGGGCTCGCCCCCTCCTCCGCGGCTATCTCTTGCGCCGCTGGAGGCGAGCCCCCCCCGATTCCCGCCACC